CATTTTTCGAGGCTATAGATGTCGAATAGGAAACTCTAGTTTAGTTTTGAGAAAAAAATATCACATCAGATTATAATTTGAAAGACAAATGAGAGAAAAAGGATTTCTTTAGCATGTAGAAGTATAGTACAAGCGAAAAAAAATCTCGATCATTTAACCATCAAATATTCATTTTCAAGCAAAATCCATGTTATATTTGGCACCAACGTTAAAAATTGAGCCAGACAACAACACTAATCAATGTAACCTTTGCTGTTTTGTGTACATCGAATGTTTCAAAAATGATTTCTTTTTTGCAAAATATACCTAATCTACATCGCTTGAATGTCACTTTATGTTCTGAATTAATTAATAATCATCAACGGAAAAAAATCATTGGTAGTTATTTGAATTCGATATGAACAACACATTTTATTCGGATGATATTACACAAGATTAAGTCAATAAATTAATTGATTCATTTCAAAGTTCATTTTGAAATTGAAGAACATTAATAGTTTGCTTGATGTGTTACAGAAAAAGAAGCTATTTATCTTCACACTCTATCTAAATCATGCCATTATTGTGAAGGACATCTTTTTGTCATATGAAGATCAACATATTCATATGATAATCAACAAACATTTATGGTAGATGAAGATGTATGAGGGACTACCGGGACTTATTTTTTCGGGATTTATTCTTTCTAGCGGACTTATTTCTTTATTGAGGATTTATTCTGATATATTAATATTGATGCTATCCCAGTATACTCACGTCAACACTCACACTCACACCCACACCCTCATCCACATTCTGTATGTAGCAAGGAACTGTATGGGATTTATCTCAAAGTGCTTACGGACTTATTGAAAAATCCCAATAAATCCCGAAAAAATAAGTCCCGGTAGCTGCTGCTATTTACATCATTAGACTATACAAAAAAAAACATAGCATTGTTTTTATTGACGATATCGGTCAAATAATAGAACGAATGAATATAAATATACACGTAAAATTATTAATATTTATAACGTAAGAAAAATAGATATACATATAGATCAAGATGGAATATTCAATTGAATGATTTACCTGATGAGATTATTTTTATTATTCTCAAAAAGTTAAATAACCTTGATGTACTGTACTCTCTCATAGATGTTAATAAACGACTCAATAACATTGTACATGATCCCACTTTTACTAATGGTTTAACGTTATTCAATGATTTATCGTGTGATTGTATGTATCCATTACCTGATTTAATGCTTGATCGATTTTGTTTACAGATCTTACCTAAAATAGGTCATAAAATCGAATGGCTTGATCTTGAACCATTATCTATGGAACGTATCAAGGGGGGAAAAGCTGATTTAAATCAGCTGTAAACTCATTTTAAATCACAAAAATCAAGTAAGCTCATTTTAGATCACGAAAATCATTTTAACTCATTTTAAATTACGAAACTCACTTTAACTCATTTTAAATCACAAAAATCACTTTAAGTCATTTGTAACTCGCTATAAATCGGAAAATGGCGAGCTGTAAGTTTATGATTTAAAATGAGTTTCTGTGAGTTTTATGATTTAAAATGAGTTTATGTGAGTTTTGTGATTTAAAATGAGTTTACTTGAGTTTCGTGATTTAAAATGAGTTTATCTGAGTTATATGATTTAAAATGAGTTTATGTGAGTTTTCTGAGTTAAAACGAGTTTTTGTGATTTAAAATGAGTTTAAAGCCGATTTAAATCAGCTTTAAACTCATTTTAAATCACAAAAACTCATTTTAACTCAGAAAACTCACATAAACTCATTTTAAATCATAAAACTCACAATTTGCTTTTTCCCCTTTGGAACGTATTCTTCTTTCTGCAAATTATCCAAATTTATTTGGACTTGGTATATTTAACATTGAAAAACAGGCTGTTTTGAACCTATTCACTGGTAAAGTATTTTTATTTCGATATCTTTTAAATAATTGATATATTAAAATGAATGACAATTCGGATGATTATTACAGTTAGATATCGTAAAATAAATTTTTTGTTTAAACAAAGAAAAGAAAGATGATAGCTAGATCATTAATTATTTTGTATTTATATTTAGACGAAACTTCTGTAATACATAGATACAAAAATGACATCTTATCATTTGTGATTAAAACTATTAACACACAATACGGTACATTAATAGATTTGGATACACTTATGTTCACACATATTTTTAATATGTTCACCAACTTACAATATTTAAATTTCGATCCATTTGTTATCAACGAATATCATTCGGCTCTTCACCTCCAACTGTGTTCTCATCAACTTTATTAGAATTACATGTCAAAGTCATATGTATTCAAGATTGTCTTTATCTACTTGATGGTCGCTTCAATCAACTTCAAATATTCTGTGTTGAAATAGGAATGTCATTTTCTTCTGATTCGGTCTTAATAATAAATAAGGTATGTTTTTATTAAATGTCATCCAATATATAAATTATCTTTTAGGAAAAACTACCAAATTTACGATGTTTTTCATTATCTCGTCATTCGAATGCACATTTCTATGATACAGTACTTATACCACTTTTATATCGAATGTCAAATTTAGAACAACTTAGTTTGTATTTATCATGCGTTCATCGTAATAGATTTATTAATGGAAAGAACTTGAAACAAAATATTATTGATTATTTACCACGATTAAATCAATTTCAGTTTAATATTCGTTCAACTATGTTGTTAAAAAATCAAATTGATTTACCATCTAATGAAGATATTCAATATACATTCAAAGATTTTTTAAATAATGAAATTATTTCTTATGTCAATTATTTTCTAGAAAATAATCAAGGTGAATGTCTTATCTATTTATATCCATACACACTGAGATATTATGACAATATCGGAAATAATTTTCCAGGTGGATTATTTACATGTGTTCATGAAGTATCATTATTTGATGAAATCCTTTCGAACACGAATTTTTTATTTGAATTCAGAAATCATTTCCATTGATGGAACATTTAACTATAATGAATCGAAAAGCACAAAAGGATAAACAATGTAAAAAATTAAAAAATACCAATCAAGATTTATTAGTTATTGAATATTCTCATCTAAAACGCCTTACTTTGAATAAAGCTCATGATGATTATGTTGAACAATTTCTACTTGATACGAAAACATGTTTACCATATGGTCTTGAGCTTCGTGTCGATTATAAACCTTTAAAGAGAGTAACATACAATTTTAAACGAAATGCAACACGAATTAATTGTTCAAAAGTGAAATATATATGTTTAGATACAGATCTTCGATTTTCAAAACATTTCAAAGATTATTTTCTTTATATTGATGTATCATAGTTATTTTCATTTGTTACTTAAATAAATTTAAATTTGTATAGAATAAATGTATTTGACAGAAGAAAATTCTCATTTCTATATTTTAAATCCATGTATACATATGAAAATGTTTACACATGATAACATGAGATTTATAAAAAATAGTTGTATCATATGAGAAAAAAAATTTATTGACTAATAATTCTAACTTAAATGTTTATGAAGAATTTTTTATCATCAAGAAAAATATTTTTTGTCGATGAACTTTTCAAAAACAAATTCAATTTTAAATTAAAACTAGTAGAAAGTCAGTTTAAATTAGATGGCACTCGAATACGAAATGCGGTGTGGGTGTAGATTAATGAATTCACACTCACACCAGACACCCACATCCCACACCTCTATAAATTGGACAAAATAAAGAGAAAAATCAAAATGTTATCTATTTTTCTCTAGTCGATATTATTTATCTTGATGAAATCCAAACTCACAACTATTGATCAATGCAAATTATCTATTCAATCATAAGACTAATTCTATCCTATATACAATCATTGTGCAATTTATATCTATTCGCTAAGCAACTAACTCATTTTCAACAACAGTGATCTAGTTAAAGTCTTATTTTTGTTTTCGGTTCTTTTCTTTCTCATTTGTATATTAAAAGGGTGTGGGTGTCGAAGTCTTCATTTTACGCACACCCACATCCACATCCACATGGTATCAGACACCAAGTTTTTTGTGATTTATCCATGAAAATCCGATCGTTTCTCGAAAAAAGAACATTTCAAGGCATCTTCCCATGATAAAAACCACAACTTTGATTTTTTCCTGAAAAATTGGATTTTCTAAGGCAGGAGGCCTTAAAAAAACAATATCTTCCTTTCAAATTTATTCCTCTTTATTCGATATTATAATTATAATATCACTATATAATGTCTTCAATCCAAATTATATTTGATTAAATATTTATTTATTCTCACAAACAAAAGAAATTATAATAAATGATTGAATCATAAACAAAGAAAATAAAAAAACCAAAACTCCGAAGAAATCTACCATTTCACATATGAAGAAAAATATCATTGAAAATAAACTATTAAATATCAAATATTTAATTTTCATTATCCAATTTTCGTTTTTTTCCTGGACAATGTTTTTTAGCATGTCTTTCTAAAACGACATGCAGCATTAATACATAATAATAAATATTATATTTTTCACTTACTACTAACAGCATCCATCATATTATCTTCGCTGATGTTGAAGAAAAAATCTATATGATCCGGGTTATTAAATACTATTTAATAAAAAATCAAATGACGTCTTCTAATGCAACAAAATTTTCTTACAGTTCAAACCACATTCATCTGTCATTGTACTTCGAATCTTTGAAATTTCATGAAAAAAACTTTGCCTTCCTGTAAAATGAACATTATATTTTATATTCAATTTATTATTAAACAAGCATCAAACATACCATTTCATAAGCTTGAGATCATCATCACTAACATTTTTTTTCTCGAGATAATTAATGTCACTTAATACACCTGAAAAAATACGTATTCACAAATAATTAATATCTTCTAAATTATTTACTTTTCCATTCCTTGAAATGAAAGAAAATTCTTACACGTTCACAATGGTATTCAATAAGCTCATCATCATTTTTACAAGAAGCAATTGATTGATTTAATCTCTAAAAATAGCAAAAACAAAAAAACAACTTATTGTGAAGAAGAAATGAATAGAAAAAGGCAAAAAGACGAAATCTCTCGAAAATATTCAAAATAAAAATGTCGAAAAGAAAAATATGAGTTAAAGATCAATACGTAAGACAAAATGTGAAGATGACAGAGATTTGTACTTTAATAAACTAATTTCTAGCGCTTGTATATATCTACAATTGTGTTAATTTTATTCTCCATATTTTTCTTTTCGACATTTTTCCATTTTGACCTTTTCCATCATATAGCTAAAGAAAAATTATCTTACTTCTAATTGCTTTTTTCTTCCTGATTGTTTTTAGATGATGATGATGAGGCTATTGTGTTGAATAATTAATTGCACGATACAGTTACAATATGTTACTACAGCTGAGATTTTTTTCTTTTGATAAGTCGTGCATTTGTTTAGTGTTTATATATATCTGCAGAAGAACAGAATATGACAAAAGAAAAAGATACTAAAACAAATTAGACGGAGTATACAATTGACCGACGACTAAAAAAATAGATACATATGGTAACATTGGACACCTACGAACTATATTTTAATCATATCGAATAAAGAAAATGATGGTCTGTTTAGAATGCAATTGAAATGAATTTCTCTCGTTTATTGTTTTCTTCACAAGGCTCTTTTTATTGTGTACTCAAAAAGTGAGTACACTCTAGAATCGGTCAGTATGTCCGTCCGGCCGTTTACACGATAACTTTTGAAAGGAGAGTTCGATTGCGATGAAATTTTCTACACAGCTTAGTCTCAGCAATATCTCGGTCGAGTTCGAAGATGGAAAGGATTGGCCGAACCGTTGCTGAGTTATTGGAAAAATAGTCATTTTTCCCTATGCCTTCCTATGCGAGAATCGACCTATCCCCACTTTCGTAAAAAACTTTTCCCATTATAGTTAAATGAAACCTCGACTATTATATACCATTCGATAGAGAATTTCACGAGCTACAAAATGGCATATAAAACATAAAGAAATAAGAAGACTAACTCACCTATTGCAAAGATAACTAAATGGGAATTGGTTCTGTTTGTACCCACACTCTAATTGATTCACAATTAGAGCTCTATCTTTCGATCAAAGAGATGATAGCTCGAGGTTTTCTAGAGCGGAGAACTCGAATCTGTACTCTACTTGCCTCGAAATCCCATTGGTTGAGTAGTAGCCAATAGAAATCAAGCGTATTATAGAAAAGATTTGCCATGATAACTTTGATGTCCACACATTCTAGGATGACTCATCTGTCCCATTCACTTTTTGAAGTACACATAACTCTCGGATTTAAATCCGAAGTTTCCACATTTATTTTTTTTTGTTTTACTTCGAATTAAAGATGAAGGTGGATGAACTATATAATCAATTTTTAGTTTTTTATTTCTATAGAATCTTATGAGATGTTGATGATCGAGTAAAATTAATAAGATAATAAATCCAACCTTCAATTGCATCTGCAGGGATCAACATTTCAAATTTAACAATATCTTTAAAAAAAAGCTTCTTAGCGCAGCTCTTTGGGGCTGAAATGTGGAACTCATATATCTTAAGCTTCATACGAAAAATGAATAATATGTAACAAACGATAGTTGATTTTATAAAAGTAATCGACCGCGAGAGAAGCTATCTGTCTTATTTATATTTGCATTAATCTCTGTACACAACGAAATATTGCATAAGTTAGTGACATCTATCGTAAAAGTCTTAGTAACTTTTTTGAAAAATATATATTCTTAATCGTCAATGAATCTTCAATTTTATGAAATTAATAAGGATAAAATTCTAAAAGAGGTAAAAGAAATTAATCTAAATGGATATTAGTTTCACCATTGAAAACACAGATATTTAAAATTATTAATACATGATAATTATCAATGTAATTATAATTATATATAAATTTCTACAATTTTATGGTTTAATTTTTATTTAATATAAAGATAAGATGTTTGTTGTTTAAAAAAATATTTGAACGATCAAGAAATTTTATTTCAATCATCTTCGATAGGCACATGAAAAGCTGTAAAAACTACTTCAAGTCTCTAAAATTTTCTTTCTTATCATTTATTGCACAATCTTATCTATGGATGTATAATGCATAAAAATGCTAAAAGTCAGGTGTTTTTGTTCATGATATTGCATTCGTCACGTTGACGTCATTCGACAATAACGAATAGGCCATCAGATAATGATATTATTTACTTTTTAGATTATTTTTCTATAGTTATGGTTACCAAGAGGTTTTATTTTTTTCTTTTGTATAACCATGAATATCGAATAAATCCAAAAAAAACAGCTTCTCTAGCAATCTTTTGTATTGAAAACAGAACAAAATAAAAGAAAAAAAGATTGAGACGTGCGACAATTGTTACTTCCTACGCATTCTTTTACTTTTATGTGCACGCCAAGTCTACTCAATGTTTGTTATTTCCAATAAATCATCGACGTAAATCAGTGATCGTTAACAACAGTAAAAACAAAAAAGCATGACAACTATAATAGTACCATTTCCGACTTGGTGAGTCAGAAAGTTTAGTAAGTAGAAAAAAACACAAGAAACGTACCTTTAACAATATAAACGTGTCAAATTCGATAAATATTAACCGAGTTATACGCATGTGATGTTTTTTTGATGAATAATAATAAACAGAATATTGATTTACTAATGAAGAAGAAAAAAAAAGATATTGGAATATATCATGACTAACTGAAATAATTAAACATCTAATGTAGAGAATACTTTACTTTATTTCTCGACAAGTCAACAACTTTGTTTTTTTAATTATCCGTGTCAACTATATGATATAAAAATAAATGTTTAATTAAAAGAAATTAAAATAGTTGTATAAACGTAAAAGCAGAAAGAAGAAAAAAAAAAGTGTCATATATAAAAAAAAAAGGAAGGATACGCAAGAAAGAACACAAATATTTCAATATGACATAATAATTTCATCATCTTCTGTATTTATCGATAAACATTGCATATATTCTTAAACTATGTTTAGAAGATTTTCTGCATCAATTCATTTCCAGTAAGTATTTATTTAAAAATGCTCAATATAATCTAAAGATAACACTTACATATTTTATTTGTCTGCATTTTTCTTATCTTATCATTTGTTTTTCTCTGTAATGATATTATTACGTTAATATTTATATATGCATTATTTTCTTTGATATAAAATAATTGTCGAGTATATTAATTTAGTATGTCTAACAGCGAACACCTATCATCTAAAGATGAAAAACCTAAACATTCATCCATGGATCCGATAGGTGCTGATAATCATCGTAAAACTTCTGTATCACAAAAATCACGTAATAGTATTTCAAAAGAATTAAATATTACTAATGAAAAATCTTCTTCATTTCAATCGTCTACTTCAAATTCATCTTTAATAAATTCATCTGCACCAATACATAATTCATCAAAATTAACAAAATCATTAACTAATTTATTAATGCCAACAGCAGAAACAATTGATAAAAATTTTAATTTTGATCAAACATATATACAAATACGTGAATTAGCTGAAATAAATTCAAATTATTTTTCTCAACAAAAAAATGATATTTGTCGAAGATTTCAACGTTTATTAGTTCAACTTTCGCATTCATTAGAATTATCTTTACCACTTATTCGATATCTTATAGATAATTTTCATCATTTTGATTATAGTCCTGAAGTAAAAAAAAGAATTTTTTTCTAAATATTTATTATCATTTTCTTATTAAATAGATTCGTGCTAGTGGATATCGAACATTAGTTGTATTACATGGTCATGCATGTTTACGAACATTAGATATACTTCGACGAATTGATGCAAAACGTTCTGGTCTTTTATTTAATCTTATGCATGCATCACGATTCTTTCAAGATCTTGAATCTTGGACAAAAACTCTTACAGGAATGCAACATATATTATCATTTGCTGTTAAAATTGTTGATTATACAGAGAAAACATCATTATATGTAAATAAAAAATATTTGATTAGAAAGAAATATTAGTGGTTTTTCTTTTCTTTTTTTTTTCGTGATTTAGCTTGATGTTACTAAAGTACCAATGGATGTTGAACTAGATTATTTTAAAATGGTTGCTTATGATTCAGAAAATTTTTTTGGTAGAACATGTGGATTTCAAGTAAGATACGAGGAATAGTATAGGATTAAATCCTCTAAGCATGTATATGAATATTGAAACTCTTCGATTTGTTTTTATTTTAGTTTGCTCAATCTATGGAAACAATGATTACTTTTCTATTAGCTGGTTTAGCTGCTTATCATGAGACATATAATCGACCAATACCATTTGCAGCAGCTAGTGTTGCAACTGCACCTAAATATATTTTATTTCCTGAACAACGAGCTGCAAAGGTTGAGTATTTATTTTACAAAAACAAAAAAGTTTATTTTAATCAAACTTTTTAGTGTGCTGCTGTATTTCGTGATTGTGATTATTTATTTTGTAAATCATTTTGGAATCTTGTTGATCATGATTTTATTAAAATGGGTTCAAAATATATTGCTCCAAGTGTAACTGTATCAAAATATTTTCAAATTGGACCTCAATCTATTGAAATTAATTCAATTATTATTCCACCACCAACAGCAGGTGCTGGTAGTGATGAACCAAATGAACGTAGGGCAGGTAATATTGGAGCTGGATCAGATAATACAACAGGTTCGGGTAGTATACAACCAAAACAACTTGTAAATATAAAACTTTTATCAAATAATGTACGAGAAGGTATGGATAAATTACCATTGAAAAAAACTGATTTTGAAATTTTATCAAAAAAAATCTTTCCAATGAGTGATGAAATTATTATGCATGTTCATGGTGGTGGTTTTATAGCAACATCATCAACAACACATGAAGTATATGACCCTTGTTTTTTTTTTTCTTTCTTCTGTATTAAATAATTTCAAACAAAGAAAAATTATTTTCTTATAGGTTTATTTAAAACCATGGGCATTAGGTCTTAAAATACCTATTGTATCAGTTGATTATTCTCTTGCACCTGAATATCCATTTCCACGTGCTGTTGAAGAATGTTTTTATGCATATGCATGGATTTTAAAAAATGCTCATAAACTTGGTTGGACAGGCAAGACAATTTTATTAGTTGGTGATAGTGCTGGTGGAAATTTAATAACAATAGTTACAATGAAAGCTATTGAAGCTGGTTTAAGAAAACCAGATGCTATTATTTGTTTTTATACACCATTTCTTCTTTGTTATAGGTAAATAATTTGAATTATTTTAACTATCAAATTGGATAGTTTTGTTTCGAAGATACGAGATTTTGTATCCGACGACTAGAGCCTATCGGACTCAAATTTTTCGAATTCGCATCGCTTTCGGAAGGAGATAGTTCATGAAAAATAATTTTCAACTTATTAAAATTTAGTATTTAATACTGTAGGTTCTCAAAAGAGATACTTTTTCGAATAATATAGAGCTATTTAACTCTTTGGGGACGGGTGTGGTATATATACCATCTGAAGTATTTCTCAAAATTCGGGAATGATATATATTTCAAATCAATCAGAAGTGAGTGGAAATAATCTGTAGAGTAATTTTTCTGTGTTGATACAGTAAATTATCAGTATTTATTTGGATTTTTTCTATACATTCGAATACGTCTACCTTGATATTTTTCCTATTCTCCTATATACATCAGGCCTTCGTGTTCTCCTATCTGTCGTCACTTTCGTTCTTTTCTTCTTCAAATACACAAGATATTAGTGTGAAGAATGTAATGCTGGGTTATGCGTAATTGATTGTTTTCACGCTTATCATACCCTAAAATACTTTTAATAATGATTTTTCATTGAATAAACATCTGCTTTCACTCTAATAAAAGGCTTAATTTTTTCAAAAAAAAATCCCATCCCCAAAGGGTTAATGATTATTTATAATTACTTTTCGTTTATAGTACTAATTTAAAAGATTTGATAGCTAATTATAGATAGGTAAAAGACTTATTCAATGCTTGAAATGATTCTTGCTCGAAATAAAATAATTGGAATAAATGAATATCTGAGCTACGCTTAGTTCTTCAGTATCATTAGAAATTAAAAGGTTATTAGTTGATGAATTTTTCTTTCTTTTTTTTTCAACTCTTACTCAATATATATCATTTAGAATAAATGAGTTGCTGGTAGAACCCGTCGAATCTGAATCGAAAAAAAAGCTTTGGATGCATATAATAATATTTTACGAATTTCTTTAAACTTTTATTCGTTTTATTCAAAAAAAACTTAATTTAGTTATAATTAACAACAAATATAAATTATGAACATGAATTAAGTTGAAAGTAAATATGAATTGAGACCCCTACGTATACATTAGTCATCTAACAAAGGAAAAAAGTGAAAAATATACCGTATGTTCGAAGCAACAATCAAAATTGGATTAGATAATTTTATTAAGAGGAGTAAGAGTACGGCTCAAGTCCGAACTCATAAAAAAAGTTAATCAATCAGGTCCGGGTCCGAAAATCTTGATCGACCGAGTTCTGGTCGGGATCGGACTCCAGAAAATTTAAATTGACAGAGTTCGTGTTCAGAAATTCTTGAACTCAATGGACTCTAGTCACTGAATATTTATTAAATTGCTATGAATATTGATCAGATAGTGCTGCAAATGTTTAAGTACTGGCTGGAATTAAATAACTATACAATTAGGGATATAGAGAATCAATAAATAATTAAATCTATACTGCAGGATGTCTGAAAAGTAGTTCCCTATTTTGAATTCTTTAGGGTGTGGGTGTGGATAAACATTTTTGCATTGTTGAAATATACATCAAAACTCCACACCCTCTCAAAAACAAAATAACATGTCATAATGTAATAAACCAGATGTTTCTGTAATTAAGAAAACGGAAATATGATAAACATTGAATGACAACGCAAAGTCATAGCAAAGCCAACTTGCTTCGCTTTTGTGAAACACGATCTAAAAGAAGTGCTGAAATATGTATAGGATAGAAATTTGCATCTTCTAACAGATATTACCACTAGGAAGTTACAAGTCTGGGTATTTTGATATATGAACTAATGTCCATTTCAGAGATAAATGGCCGTGGGTATTTTTCGAATAACTTTTGATAGAAATGAGACAGAGACCTGCAGTTTTCACCGTTGGAAAGAGCAGATGAAAATGCATCGAACCATATATAGAAAGATTTTTCTAACGACTTTCCTTAAGGTTTTAGTCAAACGTTTTCAAAGAATTGTGTTTTTCTCCTACATTAAAAAAGTCCCAAGAGATTCAATCCGACCTGTGGATCCTACCGGAAACCGATTG